GAAGTGGAGCGGGGTCTGAGGCTCCCGAGCTCAGGAAACCCTCCCCTGGGAGCTGCAACACCTCAGCCTTCCTCTCAGAGCTGTGTGGTTCCTGAGCCCCCAAGTCTCAGGATACCTTCCATCCGAGCAGGAAAGCCAGCAGTGGCACACACCTTAATCCCAGTACCCAAGAGTCAGAGGCTAACCGATCTCATATGAGTTTGAGGCTAGCCTGGTCTACAGCGCTAGTTCCAGGACAGCCAGGGCAACACAGAAAAACCCTGTCTCCAAAAAACCAAACCAACCCCCCCAACAACAACAACTCTCACACACATAAAAACAAAACAAACAAACAAAGCTGGAGTAACACTTTATTAAAAAAAAAAACAGCTTAAAAATTAGAGAGCAGTCATGGATAGAATGATGGCAGGAAGTAGGAAGTTCAGGAGTCACACAAGTCTGCTAAACAGAGGAAGCTTTGGCTTTTATATTCTTCCAGAGGGTGGCTGGGGTTTTTACACAGTGGTGTGATTTAGTCTGAAGGAGCCGGTACTGGGAAGGACAGCAAGTTAGCACAGCATGGCACAGCTCTCTGGGGAGATGGTTCAGTGCTTAAGGGCACACACAGTACCAACACCGAGGACCTGAGTTCAAATCCCCAGCCCCCAGATGGTCTGGCTGCATGTGTTTATAGCTCCAGGGCTGCTGTGGGCAGAGACAGGGGCATTGTCTGGGGCTTGCTGGCTGTCAGCCCAGCTCCGGGATCAGTGAGAGACCCAGCCCCAAAGGAGTAAGGTAACAGCAGGGGTTGTTACAGTTTATGCCGGGGGAGATGTAAGCATCATCTACCTCCTTCTTCCTCTCCTCCTCCTCTACGGTCCTATAGACAAACCGAGGTAGGATTCCACCCAAGCTTACCCTGGATAACCAATGACTTTTTTAGACTTACTAACAGAGCAACGGTGAGCATTTGGGCAGGACTGTGGATGACCTTAGAGCCGCCACACTGGAAGGTGCCCAGCAGGGTTGATGACCCTCCATGGCTGTGTAGGTGGAGTCCCTTTCCTAGTTCTTCCCTACCTAAACTCAAGATCCTCCAGAGGCCCTGAGGTCTCCTTCAATAAGAACAGGGCTGCATGTATGTTTGGGGGGGGTAATTAGATACTCAGGCAAGGGTCTCATGACCCACTCAGCCCCTCAATAAGCCCAGCTGTAATGATCTTTGTCCAGCAGGCCCATTCTGAAGATGGAGGCTCCGAGGATAGTCCTACACGAGAGCAGGACACCAGCTGTCCTACCCCAGCTTCTCAGTGGACATGGACATTTACACACACACACACACACACACACACACACACACACACACACACACTAATAAAAAAATAACAACAGCAAAATCAGGGCAGGGTCTCACTAGGTAGCCCTGGCTGGCTGGGAACACTATGTAGACTAGGCTGGCCTCAAACTCACAGAGGTCCAGTTTGCTTCCTAGGTGCTGGGATTGAAAGCATTCCTCACCTGAAGCATAGAGGCAACAAATCAGCCTTTTGAATTACAACAGATTCAAAGCATTGTGCCAGCAGCCAGTTCAGGCGGTTTGTGTGGCTAGAAAACAGAAGTGAGGCAAGCTATGGATATAAATTTATATACATATATGTGTATATACATGTGACGACCACAGGTTAGCCTAGTTTGAATCAGCTGTCTCCATCAATTGGCCAGAGTTTAGATGCTGTACTGACATTCACTTCATGGTTACATTTCATTTAGCATGAATGACTCCATCTTGCTTTGGTCTGCTGGGCTCAGATCAGGGGAACTGAGTACAAATCAAAGGCCACCTACAAACTCCATTAAACAGTAACTGCCGGTTCACTGGCTGCCTCATGCTGTCAGTACAAAGACTGTGGAGGTTAGCCTGATGCACATATTCTCCTGCTGATATTTTAGAAATAAGAACCGGCCCAGGACTTGGGTGTAGCTCGGTTGCAGAGTGCTTGCCTTTCATGCAGAAAACACCACATAGACAGGTGTGGTGATGGCACATGACCCCAGCCTTCAGAAGGTGGGGCAGGAGGATCAGAGGCTCAAGTCTATACTTAGGCTGCAGATTGAGAGGCCAGCAAGAACTGCAAGAGACCCTGTCACACAGAAAAAAATCCTGTTTACAAAGTACGAAATTCAGCTAGGTGGTGGTGGAGCACGCTTTTAATCCCAGTGCCCAGGAGGCAGAGGCAGGCGGAACTCTGTGAGTTCGAGGCCAACCTGGTCTACAGAGTGAGCTCCCAGGACAGCTAGGGCTACACAGAGAAACCCTGTCTTGAAAAACCAAAAATAAATAAATAATACTGCAAACAGACAAATTACAAAATTCAGAGATAGCTTATGTTCCCACAGGCATGTGTGTGTGTGTGTGTGTGTGTGTGTGTGTGTGTGTGTGTGTGTAGGGGTGTCTGTCTGTCTGTCTCTTCTGTGCCTGTCACCTCTCTCTGTTGGGGAGGAGGATTGCAAATCATTACTATGAGTTATTCACTAGAAATGTACTTATTATTAGATCAGTTAATCTAATTTTTTTTTTGTCACAGTTACTCCATCTGGGTCAGTTACTGAGCACTTAGTATTTTCTGGGCTTTCTCTGACTTCTGAAAGTCACTGGTGAATCTCTCTTGCCCCATTGTCAATTGAGGGGCATAATTAAGAACTCTCATAATTTTTGTTTGTTTTTTTTTTTCCTCCAAGACAGGGTTTCTCTGTGTAGCCCTGGCTGGCTTAGAACTTTCTTTGTAGACCAGGCTGGCCTCAGACTCAGAGATCTAACTGCCACTGCCTCCTGAGTGCCGAGATTAAAGGTGTGTACCACCACTGCCTGGCCGGCTGAAATCTCATCATTTTAAAGCCTTCAAGATAAAGGGACTTGGGAGACTTGGCTTCCTCTCTTAATCTGGCCATGCACTTTTCCAGTCTACAGCACGGTGCTCACTCCCTGGACGGACGTTTTCTCCTCTGTAAGATAAATGGAAGGTTGGGCTAGGGGTGTAACTGAGCCATTGTTTACCTGAAAAGTCAGAACCTCTGGGTTTGATTCCCTGCATACAGTACAAGTATCCCAGAACTCTAGATGACAGGGTCATTCTCAGCTACGTAGCAAGTTCATGGCCAGCCTGTAATATAGAAGATCTTGTCAATCAATCAATCAATCAGTCAGTCAGTCAGTCAGTCAGTCAATCAGTGTCATATGGAAGGTGCTAGGGCTGGCATACTTTGGGAAAAAATATACAAAGAATGCTAATAACTACATAGAAGAGAATTCTGTGTTCAAGCAGGTCTATACAATGCTGAACTCAACAGATTTTTTTTTTTCTCCCGGGAGTCTCAGAAACTTTCCTGTGCCTTTTTCTTTGTGTTTTGTGGTTGTTGTCGTTACAAGCGTCACAGGACCGCCCAGGTGTGGGAGAGTCCTCTCAGTGTCTTCCAAGGTGCATTTGGAAAGGATGTCATTGGATGCACACCCCTGTGCCCTTCATTTTAGTAAAAGCCTGCTAACTTTGAATCATTTCACGCCACATGTGTCCCAGTCTCTCTCTCTCTCTCTCTCTGATATGCTTTTGATTCTCTGGTAGGTGGGTCAAAATCTTACCTAACCTGGATATACAATTTGCAAAACCACACATCTTAATACTCGCGGCAACAGTGGGCAGAAAGAGCATATGTGCTGTTCTACATGGAGATGACCCACAATGCATCACAGAGGGGACGCTTTAGGGGAGAAGGGTGAGCTAAATGAATGTGAGGAACAAGAGCACTAATAAAAGACTCTTAGAAAACTTGAAGAAGCATACGTCCGACATCTTCATGACCAAATAACACAATCGTTCCCATCACAGAACTGCTGTTCCCAACAGCAGTTAGGACTCAAGAGTGGCAGAGCTGAATGGCTCTGTGCCAAAGTCCGTGTCCAACATCTGTCACTCTGAAGGCCATTAATGTCCAATTGCATCCCATTGTCTTCAAGTTATTCAACTTCATTTCGCTGTCAGTGCTCTAGCTGGGGATTAATAAACTATTTATGGGCTTGAAGTCAGGGTGATGGTGTTGGGGTTGCAGTCCGAGGTACTGGCAGGGAAATTCGTCCAAACTAAAAGGCTCTTGATTTGTTTGAACATGTAGATGATTTAATCAAACAAAAATATCCGAGGCTATTGCTGACATACCCGTATTTCAAGAGGACGGAGTTGCTCACTCGGCCCTTCCTGAGATGTCCAGAGAGACTGCTGGACTGAAACTATTTGGAGCCTGTTTCTTTGCCTCTTGATTCCTCTTGAGAAACAAGAAACAAGCTGAGATGAGAGAGGGAAAATTAAAGGTTTCTTTGTGTAAATCTAATAATTTTCAGCGGTGGAAATCATGTTTTGTTATTGTTCTCAAGGACTGATGACATACTAGAACACTGAGTTGCATGAAGTCTTTTTAGTGGTATAAGAGATCAGCAGAGAAGAAATCTGTCAAGAATCCTTTCAGTTATTTAGGACGTTCCCATTTTGCACACGCATGTGCATGAAGATATTTTTATTAAGTTAAAGTGCTAAATAATAAAGTGATTATCATTTCAGTGTGGGGCCCACCAGCATTAATGAACAAGGAAATAAAGTAGAGATGCTGAAATAATTTGCCAAGGCCTGGGGCCCCACAAAACCCAATCACATAATTAGAAACTAGGATCAAGTTGAAAATATGCATACTCTTATCGTCGGCTAAGTTGTTTCACGAAAAGTGTTTGCAGAATCACATTCCAGACCTGCACTATTTGAACTTTCTAATTTGTCTGAATGTATTTAATAAATTAAATGAAAATGTTAACATGTTAGAATGTGAAATTGCCAGTTCTTAACAAAGCAAAAATCTTGCTAGACTTCAGATACACCTAAGCAATGTCAAAATCAACGTGTTCGTGCAAATGATTTCTACGTGTCCATTTAAAAACCATCCCGTCTTTGTTTTTGATACGTAAGCTGCCCGCTGGTATGGGAAAAGCCGGACCACGCTCGCCCTCCACCCCCACCTTGTTATTCTATTGGGAACAGCCAGGCCAGGCCGCTCCAGATGGTGTGTTAGTGTTGGACATAGCTTTGGAGAAACTTCAACAGACGAAGGCAGCGCTGTCAGGGTTTTGCTGTGCGTCGTCCGCCCTCCCCCCTGCAGTTCCCAGGGTAGGAAGGTGCTGAGATGGGAGCGGAGGGACGCCCGCCCACCTGCCGCCACCTGTTCCCCGCTTGAGCCGCGGCCTATAAATTTTCCTCCCTCACCGCTCGGCCCAGCGCTCCTCGCGTCTACTGACCTAGCCCAGCTTCCGCGCAGATTTGATCTCCCCGAAAACCGGCCCCAGGCTTCCCAGAGAACCGGCAGGGCCGTCTCCCTCCGACCCACAGCGCCCGCCAGAAAGTTTCCGCCTCTTTCGGCTTCACGTTTCTGGGGGCGGGGGGAGAGAAATGACTTTTCCCTGAGCATCACTTCCACCGCATCTGGGCGACCCAGCCTGGCGCCCCGGCGGGCCGGGAGCCCGGGTCCCGCGCTGCCCACGGCACAGCGACTGCGCGCGAGCCGCGCCGCCCCGGGAGCCACGCC